CCCCGAACCCCCCCTGGCCACGGGCCTGTACTAGAGCTAAATGGAGGCCTTGCTAAGTTGCTGGTAGTCTGGTACATGCCATATGGTTCGTGTCACCTGCGGGATAGCGGATTGCAGCATGCTCTGAGCCAAACTGCATGCAGTGCCCCTTCGCTCACTCAGGATAATACAATCAGTAGAATTGAGCCAGAGCGAGAGTGCCATCTGTCGTGGAGTTTGGCTCTGAGCATACAGCGCACGATCACGTGATCATGTGTTAGCCCCAGGAGCACGCGCACCAATAACCTGTATGATACAGGCGGTATGTTTCGCTTCACTACACTATCTACGTGTGAAGCAAAGATGTGAAGTGTAGTGAAGCGGAACCGGAACCGCCTGTATCATACAGGTTAGCGCACCAATGATTTATATTCTCTGCGCGTACCCAGGCCACCCGGCATTTGACCCGCAGGTGAACTGCAGCGAGGCGAAGATCATACGTATTTTTTCCGCGTTGCGACACGTAACAGCTAGTAGTTTGGATACTGAGTGGTACACAGGCACTTGAAGCATATCAACTGTAAACATACGGCGCCGCCATTGCGCGTACACTAACAGTAACACATATATATTGATATATATATTTATATATAACTCAATATATATGTGTTAGTGTACGCGCAATGGCGGCGCCGTATGTTTACAGTTGATATGCTTCAAGTGCCTGTGGAGTGGTAGGTACAATCAAGGAGCTAAATATAACAGTTATATACTGTTATAACTGTTATAGCTGTTATGTTTAGGAGTTAAAATAGCTGTTATATTTAGCTCCTTGGATACAATATATATGTTTTTCTTTTTGTTTGTTACTTCCCGTAGCCGTTGGCAACGAAAAGTTACGAGAATTTTTAACTTTACGAAGTTTCTGGCAACGCTTTCAGAGAAAAAGTTAATGTTAAGACAAATTTTTTCTGACAACGGGCCCCTGGAGTTGAACATGTTCTACTCCTGTACTGAAGTGTAGGACTATATATAAATTGTGTAGACATGTTCGTGCTTCAGATGGCTCGTGTGAATTAACGTTTATAGTCTTGCAGCACGCCAGCAGCTTGTCGGTCTCATTGAGTCATTCTTCACATGTGCAGGTATGTGCATCTTTAACTATAATTAGACCAATAAATTTCGCCTAGAAGTTAATCGTTCTTTTAAATCGAATTTAAATAATTTTGGAATGATAATTGATATAGTTTTGGACCCTGCAAAGTGCAAATGGGGCTCATAGGGTCTATGTCCCCCAGGGTACTGCCGGAACGTACCCTGGGTACGGTCTGGTATACCGGAACGTACCCTGCATGGTCACTATTTGATATGGATAGGGTTAGGGTTAGGGTTTGGGTTAGGATTAGGGAGTAGGCGTAGGCGACTCCCTAGACTCGTTAGTGGAGTAGGCGAGGTACGGTCCGGCATATTAGATAGTACCAGGGTACGTTCCGGTATACCGGACCGTACCCAGGGTACGTTCCGGCAGTACCCCGGGGGACATAGACCCTCTCAGCGCAAATGGGCTCAACTAATCCAGCAGGTTGCTAAACTAGGCTTGGGCCGAAGTTTTTATGATGTGACGCTATTGGAAAACCAGCAATAGCTAGGAGTCTAGCAGATTGGATTAATGTTTTGCCAATTATTGTCATAAATATTAATTTTTTTAACCATAAAACGATTTAGTTTGTGAAGAAAATGGAGAAGGTAGAGCTACTTGATCCCTCTGAATTGTATCGTCCAGAGAAAGTCCACATGGAGAAGCAGGCGCTAAGAAATTACAATGTAAGTGTCGTAGTTTCGGACTACGGATACGCAATTAGACAAAGAACTCGTAGAGTATGTGACAAGTATCTTTACTCAAACAGAACCACCGTGCATCACTGTCGTGCCAGTGCTGCCATCTATCGTGACATATAACATAACTATAACAAACTATGACAGTAAGTTTCTTTTATAGTTTGTAGAACTGTGCTGCAATTTTACATGTACAGTCGACCTCGCCTAAGTCGACATCGCACAAGTCGAATAATCGGCCAAGTCGAAGCGCCACAAAAGTCCCGATATCTCCATATGTATTTACATCTTCGTCTAAGTCTAAATTCACAAGTCAAATTTCGGCTATCTCGAAGAAGAATTCTAGTCCCAATTGGTTCAAACCTGCATTAATTCAACCGCACAAGTCGAAGTCGGAGGCTCCTTGTTTTTACGAACATGCAGTAATGAACATTCCCCACGTAACTGAAACAATCAGTGCACTCACCCCATAGGCTAGGCTTCTAACCGCCATTGAGTTTCCTGTTATATGGCACGTCGTATGCACCTATATAATCTACAGGTCTTATCTACGGGCAATATCTTTCTATCTCTTGATATATAGTGTTGAAGGAGATATAAACATTATAAGTGCATGTACCCACTTGTACTTTCATTTTCATAGCACGAGTCTACACCGCAGAGAGTGAAAAACACATACTATACTATGCACACAAACCAGTGTGTCGACTTTGTAAAGGCAAAGGTATGATATATGTATGGTAATGGCGAGATAAGGGTGTGTGTCTCAGATAAGAATAAAGGTAAAACACATATATAGCTATTGCAGATAGCAGCATTTGATGAATATGTGGTATGTAACAGTAAGGTCAATGTGTAAGTAGTTATATCATGGCTCAGTCTCAAAAAAATACATAGCTCAGTCTGAGTTCAAAGTATATTCAAAGTAACAGTGACATATGTATGGCAATATACATATATATATATATATATATATATATGGTTATATATAGACCATATAATGAGCATATGTATGTTTGTCATAGTGTTGTGTATAAAGAGTGTCTATGGCTGATAGGGTCTATGTCCCCCAGGGTACTGCCGGAACGTACCCTGGGTACGGTCCGGTATACCGGAATGTACCCTGGTACTAAATACTACTATCCAATATTCCGGACCGTGCCTCGCCTACTCCACTAACGAGTCTAGGGAGTCGCCTACGCCTACTCCCTAACCCTAACCCTAACCGTAACCCTAACCATATCGATCAGCTAGGTAGTTACCAGGGTACGTTCCGGTATACCGGACCGTACCCAGGGTACGTTCCGGCAGTACCCTGGGGGACATAGACCCTATGAGCGTGTCTATAAGTGACAGAAACTGCAGAATGAGACAGCTAGAAGGAAACTGCAACCATGCGTGTAGTGGAGCGTCTGACTATAAACAGCAGTGTTTGCTACTCGTTTGCTAACCCAGTGTTGTGGTTTTACACTGACCTGTCCTTGTAAGCATGTGCGTAGAATTGCGACACACTGCTATTAGCGAACCACCACTAAATGTCCGGGGTTTCCATGCAGGTGGCGGAGTACAGTAGATTCGATAAGGGCGAGATGTCCGTAATGGAGGCACTGGACAAACTCAACTCTGTGATTGATGAAAGCGACCCGGACGTAGAATTTCCGAACATATATCACGCGTACCAGACAGCGGAGCGCGTTCGAGAGAAACATCCAGATAAAGGTTGTGTGTCTACAAGTCGCATAACTTATATAAGCACAGCTTCATTGAGCTATAGTTCACCAGTGCCTTGTTTTTATTAAAATATATGGAAATCCTAGTGATCTGTTTGTTTGATTTATGAAGGACTTAATTTTTGAGAGTAGATTTAGCTGTAAGTACTCGAACGTGCGTAATGACGGCTTTTGAATTTTCTAAGAATGTAGTTTTATTACTCTTTGCAGATTGGTTCCAACTCACTGGCCTGATTCATGATCTCGGCAAACTGCTGGCAGTTTATGGAGAGCCCCAGGTAAAGAATATTTCATTTATCTTCTGATTAAAGCTTAGGTTCAGCTTTTTAAAATGTAGTTTCATTTGTTTGGGAATATCAAATAACCACAATCGAAGGGATTCCTGCCTCACAAACATGTCCAGTGTGTGTGACTGGGAACTAATTACATGCTAGCTTGAAATGCCAAAAAAGATTCTTGTGTGATAATAAAACCACAACACAAATAACGTGTCTTAGGGAAAACGAATTGGTTCAAACACATCAATTAAAAAATATACATGCTTGTTTCTATGTTATCTGGAACACTGTTGTCAGGTTTAAGTAGGTTAAAGTGCATTAGCGCTTAAGTTTTCACTTCCTAAATCGACATCGTGTAACGACCTTGCTGAATTTCAGTGGTCCGTTGTTGGCGACACGTTTCCTGTGGGCTGTGCCATAGTGCCATCTATTGTGTTTGGTGCTGACAGCTTCAAAGAGAATCCAGACACTAAAAACCCAAAATACAAGTTTGTAGATTTTTTGTTGTTGAAGGCAGTCGGAAATATCTGCCGTTCTTTTTTAACATTCTTTTTTTGAATTTCGACCTGTGAGTAATTTCAAAATTCATTATGTTTTTATTAAGTGCCCTGCTGATAAGTTTAGAGAGATTTCCCTGCATTAATTGTGATTGCCGAGATTCGTTTTAAAAATAGCTCAAATAATTGGCAAGCGGATACTAACATATGGTGGTGGCACTGGTGGGTGTACAGATTGGAAGTGTGCAATACAGGTTTTTACATGGTATATGTTTTGAAGCACACTAGCTTACCTCGTGTGCTGAACCGTGGTGATTTTGGATTACAATTAAAAGGAAACCCCATTGCAGAAATCTGTTATGTACACACTTCCAACATTCAAGCTGTCAGGATATTTTGTCATCAGTAATGACTAACAGTTTTGCGCGACCAGCATTAATTTAATGTGAACGACAGTTTGAAGTGATTTTGAAGTTTTGAGTTTTGAGAATCAATCCAAAGGGAGATATAAAATTGGACAATTTTGACAGTTTTACATAACTATTTTAAAATATTCGGAATTCATTTTTTCTCTCCTTGAAAATGTGTATGAGGTGTACATATATGAATCAGTTTTTAGTATGCCTCAAATGATGATCCATTGTTCTGTTGTATAGCACTCGTCTAGGAATTTATAAAGAAAACTGTGGGCTGGAACGTGTGCAGATGTCATGGGGCCATGATGGTTAGTGTTATTATACAATTATTGCTTGTTTGCGAGGAAAATGGGGAGTTTTGTTCACCGGTTACAGGCGACATTGATTTTCAAGGTCGACAAAATTCCATGTTGCCGGAACAACCAGGTGATAGTGGTTTGCTACATAAAATCCGGAATAAATAGTACTATTATTAGGGCCAACTATGAGAAGTCAGAAAAGACCAAGGGCAATTCCGTATACCAGCCATTTCCTATACCTATGATTTAATTATAAGTGTAACTCAATAAACATGAATGTTGCCCATTCAATAACCTTCACATACATGATCACAATCCAGAGAGATAGACTAGAAATTAATTGCCACGTTTAACCAATGTATAACATGTATAACCAGAACGAGACAGAACACCATTGGGATAGTTTCCTATGCAAGATATTAATCGTTCATGTAATTGCATTGGATTTTTCAAATAATGCAAATTATTGGCGACTTAAAAACGGTGGTATTCAATGTTGGTGGTAATTCAAACGTTTAATTTGAGAAGATTTAAACTATAAAGCCTCCTGCATGCTTGCAACATTTTCAGACGCTTGCTCGTCTTTCTTGTAGAATACCTGTACCAAGTGCTAAAGGAGAACAAGTGCGCCCTGCCAGAGGAAGCGCTGTACGCAGTGCGCTACCACTCCTTTTATCCGTGGCACAGCGGCGGCGACTACAAGTACCTGTGCAGTAACCATGATGCGGAGATGCTCGAATGGATAGTTGAATTCAAGTGAGTATGTAAAATTTCGAGGAAAGTCCGATGTTCAAGATTTCACACGTATTTGCGGTGGATATCTAGCCGTGGTCTAACAGTCAACGAAGAAACCTTTTGGTTCATAGTTGTCATTCCGTTATTCGTCGAAGAAACTGCATCCATGTTATAATTCAGCAAACACTGCACTATCTTGAAAAGCACTGATCAACCCATTCATACACCGTGACAGAACTCCCCCCCCCCCCCGGGTGCAACTGCTGGAAAATGCAGTTGAGGATGGCACAGGAAAGAGTTTTTCAGTCATCAGTTCGGTAACTATGGAAGTTTATTTTACAGCCAGTTCGGTAACTATGGAAGTTTATTTTACAGCCAGTTCGACTTGTACTCAAAGACAGACGACATTCCCGATATCGAGAAACTGAGGCCTTACTATCAAACCCTCGTTGACACGTACTGCCCTGGAAAACTTCGCTGGTAAAACCGCCCCGGGAATCTGCAGGAACAGAGATTTAGAATTGGATGGTAAACTGGCTTATCTCGTTCACTATCCCTATACTGGTCACTTTCAGGGAATATAGAGTGGAACTTGCAGAACTGGCATATCAAAATGCTAAAAGAGTTTTTAAGTGGCAAATAGCTCATTTAAATTGTACAAACTCTGTTGATCGGGTCAACACGTCCTGGCGAATTCTTCTGAAGCTACATGAGAACCATGCACTGAGACTCACTATTTATCCCGCTTTTGCATTATATAACTTTAATTTGTGCAATTTGGTGCCTACTAAAGTGACTGTTTTCAGATATTGTAAGATTTTTTTTGCTGTGCGCGAGATATTTTAGCGTTTTATTCATGAAGAGATATTCATGCGTGAGATATCTCAGCATTTTTTTGCTGTGCGTGAGATATTGTAAGATCAGCGTGAGAGCGTGAGATTTGGTCAAAATGCGTGAGTCTCACGGTCAATGCGTGAGAGTTGGCAGCCCTGCTCCACGGACGCTCAGTCTCCTCATCACAATAACTCTTAGGCTAGCTCCTGGAAAATGGCTGCCAGAAATTTGTTTCCTAATTGGCAATGATGTCTTGACACCTTCCTTCAGGTTCTCTGACAAGCCTCGTTATGTTGTATTGCGACGGTTTTGTTCGATGTTGCCCCCAATAAATTTCTCAATTTCACGGATTACCCTCCGGATCATGCAGCCATGTCAGCTATTGCAGTGATCAATAAATATAGTTGATTCGGCATTATTTACCTACTTCTGTGATCGTGCAAGTATATTTTACATACTTGAATAATATTATGGTCAGCTGTGTGTTTACATGTGAAATGTAGCACAAGCACTGACAGTGATACCAATTTGACAATGCAAGCTTGCAGTTCGTGTGCTGTCTTTCTTAGTTTAAGGCCCCTTTACACTAGAGCTACGCTCATCACGATCGCCCCACGCTCAAAAAATTTGCCCGAGCGTAGTGAGCGTGGTTGAGAGCGTGGCCAATTGGGCCCCAGCCGGGCACAGCCGATACTACGATCTAATTACGTCGATACTACGATCTAAGTGCGTCTATACCTCGATCTCATTGCACTCAACAAGCTTTCACCACACTCAACACCACGCCCTCATCACGCTTGCACTTCGTTCACTGCGTCTTTATTGCGACCAATCAGATCGCATTGCGTTCGAACGACGCTTGCACTGCGCCTATAAAGTGCTTTAAGCAATGCTCACCGCGCCTCAACTGCGCGCCAGTGACGCTCCTAGTGTGACTTAATCACGCTCTAGTCAGGCGCCGACTGCACTGGCAACGACCATATAAATACCGCGCCGCGTTCTAGACATCGTCATTCGTTCTGCCGTGCTGTTCACATCAAGATTATTTTCTACTGATTTTATACCCATAATAGTATAATAGTATGCTACAACTATGCCACCAAAAGACTTCTATTTCTCCTCCTCATCCTCCTCAGCATGATGAGGGCTTCGCAATCAAGTGATTAGAGTCCTTCTACGAGAAACATGGAATGGAGTAGTGTTGCCTCATCCATAGTGGACACTGAACTGGTAGGGTGGCCAGGGTAGCACCCCAATTTATACCCCAAGTTCGCAGGACGTGATCTGAGCGTGGTATTGACGCAACTAACACGTAATGCGAACGCCATAACGGCATGGTCTGAGCGTGTTGGGCGTAGTACAATCGTAGTACGAACGGATTGAGCTTGCTAGAGACGCACCATGTGGTCATAGCGAGAGCGTGGTCAGGTCGCAGAGACATCTCCATGGACGTAGTAACAGCGTGATGAAAACGTATTGACATCGTGCTGAGAACGGGGTGACAATTTTCACGCACCTGACACGCTTGCCATACGATCATTAAGTTCGTACTACGCTCGAGTTACGTGGGTACTACGCCTTCCACGTCTCTAATACGCCCGCACTGCGCTGTTTTTCCGCCACTCTCGCACCACGATTGTTTTGAACATGCTCAAAGTTTGGCCACGCTCTCCACGCTCATGGTGACTGCACCGCGCTCGATCGCGATCGCAGTACGTGACTACGTCTATATACGTTCATACTGCGTTCTACACGTTTCCACCACGCTCTTAGAGCGTAGTACGAGCGTAGTGAGATCGGGGCCATGGTGTGAAGCCCCCTTTTATTTACCTGTTATACTGTTATATACAGAAAGCTCTTGAAAATTGTCGCACAAAGCATGCTGACCATGCAGGTGTTGGCATTTGCAGCAGAATCAATGTTTTTTTTATATTTGGAAACTTTTGTGTTAGTATTATTATCACACTTGTTTGCATGGTATGGGTGTACATGTTTCATATGAATTAATTACTATATGCGGTATAATTCAATCGTTCTATTTAATTTTGAGAGATAATAGGTGTATTGTACAGCCTATATTTAATGTTTATTTAAAAAAACACGAACGTTTAATGCACAGAATGAGTGATATTATCATGTTTTTGATATTTACTAGTTAATGCAATGAATTTATGAATAGGTGGTGGGTAAATTAATTGGCTTTACCTTCATAAGGGAGCAAAGACTGTGTGTTATACGCGGTGCATGTGTTGTTCTCATGATTTATTATATATCCGTTTATAAAGTAATTACTGTAGTGTTCTTCAGTTTTTTTAAGATATGTGAAAACGTAGGCTCTATAGATGCTTGTCTGTTTTCTAATGTATATGTAAATATATATATACGCGCACGCACGCACGCACGCGCACAGCTCTGCATGTTTATATGCAAGTTAATTGTGACTATTAATTACTGGCAAATTGAAAAAAAGCTGAAAAACGCGCATGTCTAAACGCATGACGATGCGGACCATCTTCTAGCAATTTTACTGGAAATATTAAATCCTGCACATATATCCTACATGCATACTTGAGTCTAGTCGCCTGCATTTCTATTACTACGTGTGCGTGTCACGTGCACGGTGTTCCACCTAGAGATTCAAGCTGTATTACTATAGACAATCAGTCGCACAGCCTGGTCGGGCTAGCGGGGTATTGCTCATAGGGTCTATGTCCCCCAGGGTACTGCCGGAACGTACCCTGGTAACTATCTGATATGGTTATAGGGTTACAGGGAGTAGGCGTAGGCGACTCCCTAGACTCGATCGTTAGTTGAGTAGGCGTCTAGGCGAGGTACGGTCCGGCATATTAGATAGTACCAGGGTACGTTCCGGCAGTACCCTGGGGGACAGAGACCCTCTCAGCCAAAGTAATTGCGCCCTACATGTAGCCGCTGTACAGCGTACAGAATGCCAAAATCAATACCGGAGCACGCGCATGGGGTCGCATGCACTAGCATGTATGTGTGAGCAATGTTGTTAGCTGTCAGCGCTGTGCAGACGTATCTATTTTTAGCGCAGCTTGCGTTGCGAGCTTGGTGCATACATGTGCAAAGAGCATTGATCGAGCTGCCTATGTGCGGCCGACATTGCAGATAAAAACACCGCCATTTACGCTCTTGCTTGCTTGGATACGGCATATGATACATGTAGGCCCTATAGACCACTACCAGTCATCAGGACAACGTTCTGACTGGAGTAAGTGTTTTGAGAATCTACGGAACGCGTTTGTTAGCGTTAAATTGTCAGGTAAGTTCTGCTTTACGTACAGATAAAGCGTGAATGCATGCATAATACAGGATGTTAATTGATCGTACGCGTTATCAGAATTAATGGAATGCAGACGAATCGTGTGGCTCACTGTTTCTATTTATGAAACTAATTATCATGTTTCTTTATACTATATATAGCTAATTATAGTCACTCGGAAAAGTGATGGCAACGTTTGGAGTGAAACGGAGAGCCGAGTGCACGCTGCAGGAGCTGTTGCATCAATACAGACTCGAACATTATGGTCACCATTTCAAAGACCTTGGAGTCAGTTGTCTTCAGGATTTCAGCGATGTCTTGGATGAAGATCTTGACAACATGGGTAAATTCAAGCATCCTTCATGCAAGCTCAAAGATGGGCATGCATACGTGCGGACGTACGCATGCAGAGAGAGGTGGGGTGGGAAAGATGGGAGGGAGGGGGAGGCGAGGTAGGGGAAGGAGGGAGATGAAAGGCGATTCATCGGGAGAGGGTGGGGGGGGACGGGAGGAAGCTCTCGGAGAGAGGGAGTTGGGAGGGAGGCTTAAATTAGAGGGTGGGGAGGGAGCTGGAGAGAGGGGGTGCTCAGGCAGAGAGGGAGGGGAGGGAGGGGGAGAGGGAGGAGGGAGCTGCGCGAGAGAGGGGGGTGCATCGGAGAGAGGGGGAGGGAGAGAGGGGGAGGGCTGCGAGAGAGTGGGTGCTCGGAGAGAGGAGAGGGAGAGGGAGCTCGAGAGAGTGGGGAGCTCGGAGGGCAGGGGGAGGGAGCCTCGGAGAGAGAAGAGGGGAGGGGAGCTCAGGAAGAAAGGGAGGGAGGATGGGGGAGAGGAGGGGAGGGAGCTCGGCACGAGAGCGGGGAGGGAGGGAGGGGGAGGAAAGCTACTCCCCGAGAAGAGGGAAGGGAGTTCAGAGAGAGGGGGAGGACGGATGGTCGGAAGGGAGAGGGAGGGAGCGCGCGAGTCGGGCCAGGGCGTGCCGGAGGGAGCGTCGAGGGACGGGGGAGGATCGAGCGGATCGGGGAGGAGAAGTCGGAGGGAAGTCGGAGGAGGGGGAGGGAGGCTCGGAGGGAGAGGGGGAGGAGCCTCGGAGGGAGGGGGAGGGAGCTCGACGAGAGGGGAGGAGTTCGAGAGAGGGAGGGAAGGCTGAGAGAGATGTAAACAGAAATAGGGCCGATCTTATATAATAAATAACACGATAATGTGTATATATCTGTCTGCACGCATATGAAATGTTTACAGGATTGACAAAGGTAGAGAAGAACCGCTTCAAAAGATTGGTCCACACAGCAGAAACCATCCCAGACTCTCCTGCACTCGCCCACTCCACCAGACACGAGTTCCAGAACATTGCCACGGCTAAATTGCACCGTTCTGCCAAACCGGCAAGCCCTGGCAGTGGAGCAGTATCCAGCACTGGTGAATAATATATCAAATGGATGGCTGTTGAAGCCATAATTATGCTCGTCAATTAAGTCATCATGACTATAACAATTTGGAGAGACTTTTATTGATATTTGGGCAATAATGATATGACTGTATAGGTCACTCACAGCTACTACTACACTCACTCGCACTACACAGCTTTCTGTCTACCGTAGAAAGGTCATACGCCAGTTGTGGTTAAATCAGAATAGATAAGAAAGCTGAACAGCATGAAAACTACATGATGTAAATATACTAAGTAACATATTCATATAATTCGATCGTTTGGAATCTTCTTGGAATGCAGGGCAGTCTCACTGTGGAGCGGTCTACGATGCCTCGGGCTCACGACAAACAATGTATGCAAACAGTCCACCACCTGGTCATTCTGCAGCGCACATGACACATGGTATATCTCTTATAATAGTTGCTGCTGTACTGTTACATCTATATCTACTATATGAAGAAATTATTATCATTCCAGCTCCTGCGCGAACGTTGAAATTAAGTTTTGTGCTGCCTATATATGAATGCATCAAATTCGTGTGTGTATGATCATAAACGTGTCACGTTACCGTAATATACAGGGGGCCTTTTTATTGATATTACATAGTTATGCGCTTGCAAAAGCAGTTTATGTTGTTTATGTCTAAATGTCCTGGAAATGCCCCCTCAATACTTGACAGGTGCTTCAGGCCACCAGTTTGTTGTCCAAGGAATGACTGCTTCCATGCAACCGTCAAACACGGTACACATGGCTGCCAATGCTAAATGCACATCACCGCAGTCGCCGCACGTTGCCACACACCAACTTACGGAGACTGCAAGCTTGTTTTCCTCGCCCGAGCCTTGCGCAGAGTATGGCAAGCAGCCACAACAAGATCTCAATGGGACGATACCACCGGTGTCACAAGATCAATTGGCAGGCACCAGTGGCAATTTGATGCACCTTTTGCCAAACATGCGTCAGAACAAGAATGTGGAAATTGGAAAAGGTATGAGAGCAGGGGTGTGATGTAATTCCATATTCGGTGCAGGCTCGACCTCAAATTATCACTAATAACTATATAACTGACATAAATAATATAGGATTATGCCATGGTTTTAGTACTCTGCCATCGTACAAATTATCCTATAATCCTTTCCAATGCAGGAGTTTTCATAACAGCCAATCAACTTCAGTTGATGAAGATGAAAGGTCATTGTAAGCCTACACTCATGGTGCGCTCCCTGGTGGAGATATTGTTCACTAAGGAGGAATTGGCCATGCACAGCTGCATGGGCCGAAACACATCTGACAGCAACCGGCCTGGTCTGGATCCACCGAAGATCGAGGCAATCAAAAGTAAGCGTAAAATACATACGGCTCGTGAAACGTGCCTATGACACGTACTGTGCTAGTTGTGGGAAATAGTGGAGATGGCCTCTTGCGTCAACGAGTTGTTGGCTTGGAAAATGGTTTTTACAGCCATAGATTTAACCAGTTTCCTCTTTTCCCAATTAGAGTCAACTTCATGCTTGTAGTCGGATTTGTGTTAGCATGTAGGGTTACATGCAGCCTAGCTCCAAGAAACGGTATTGCTAGGGTTAGAATACCGTGCTAGGGTTAGAATAGGTATAGACAATCCGTCGCACAGCCTGGTCGGGCTACATGCAGCCTAAATTGTTGCAGTATCATGTCGAATGAACATTGAGCAGACTGGTCTTTGGAGCAATGTGGGGAACAGAAGATATCGTATGACAGTGTGAAGTAAATGAAACGGCTCTAGTTTATACTTCTGATATACCTTTAAACACATGAGTATAATCATCACAGTAATGTCATGTCGTGGATTGATGTTTCTTTCAGACTGTGTGTGGTCACACAACGCTCCTCTCTCTGAGTCCGACATTGTCTTCATTATTAACGACAAGTGTGCGCAAGCGAGACGCTATTTCAAGATGAGAGCTGAACGTCTACATCGCCAGTCTCAAGGGTGTAGCAGTAGCCAGGAAGCATCAATGATAATAGATCCCGTTGTCCTTTACCAGAGTGATGACTTCTCGACGACGATTAAGGTTTGTTAGTATTGCTGTCATAGACACACCCCTCACAGACCACACATGCACACTCCTCCACGGTTTATTCGTTTGGAGGGTTCCACGTGTACTGCAACTTTCTAACGTGTGTGTCACCGCTATATATAACACCGAACCTGAGTTTGTGAACTCCAGGCTGCCTTTGATGCGCATCTTTTGTCACGTATTATTCTTTTAAAAGAATTAAATGTTCTTGCATGATTTGTAGTATTAGCTGCAGAAAAATGTTGATTTTGCTCTAGTGCAGGGGTGGGCAAAGCATGCGGCCCTCCACGGGGTTATGTGCGGCCCGCGGAAGCCTGCAGCAAATAAAAAAAATTTTTTAATTTTTTTTTTTAATTAATACATTTTTGTGAAAGTAAACATGTTTGTGCTTGAACCGAGGCTGACTTTTTTAGTGTCATACAGATTAGTGTTCTATTGTCTCTGGTTCGCTCTGCAACGCCATTTCAGCTAATTATGGTCCAGAGATGGCGCCCTTGAGGCGAAACGCACGTATTATCTTAGAGCGCACCGATTTTAAAAGGTGCGGCCCTTTGACTTTTCATGGCCTACTGATGCGGCCCTCGCTTTGAAAAGTTTGCCCACCACTGCTCTAGTGGCAACTTCAGCTCAATCTGCAGAAGGTGGTCGTGTCATAGAGGTTATATATGTCCCCCATAAAAATGAAGGGTATGTGACTTTAATAAATTTTTTTTCGCAAATGAATATGATGATAATTTGTGCATATGCAGGAGGAGTCCGAGAATGATTACGAGAGCAGCAATCAGGAACTGACAGATGACTATAGCATCATAGCTGTATCACCCGGGAAACAGGACGCGAGCACTGGGAGAGAAGACGTCATGAACTTGATGAAAGCGGAAGGTCAAAGATAATTGATTGCAAGCCATAGTTTGTTGATGTTTTTAAGGTATTAAAATGAATCTTCATAATGTAGTTAATTGTAATTGACTATGATAAAGTACGATGGAAAACATCGTGAAAGTTTGCGATAGTCGCAACCAAAAAGGATGGGTGCATTTCGTGCAACAATTTTGCATGATAATAGGGCCAGACGAACAATAATTTCAAAGTGACACTGCTTATGTTTTTGCAAGTGTCGGTTTGCATATTTCTATGGATAAAAGCTATGAAAGTAGGTATAATTTGGTGATATAATAGTTGCAGACTATATAGAGATATTTATTTTTGTGTGACAGTTGTGCATTCAGTCCTCATTTCGTTTGGCGTACGTCTGGTGTTCATCCGTCCCTATGGGTATAATACTACAATGTTCTCGGTGACTACCAAAGACATTGGTTTGAAACTTAAGCGTGTGTGTGTGTGTGTGCGTGCGTGCGTGCGTGCGTGCGTGCGTGCGTGCGTGCGTGTATGTGTTCATGTTGCTGGCACCTGCAGCACGATTTTCTGTTGCTGTGTGGTTGGGGACCAATGTAATAAATCATTATGAAGCAGTACTTCTATATATAGTTGATGGAAGTAATTCAATCGGAAATTCGGAGAAGACTTCGTAAATGCTTTGCCACTAGTGAACAACTCTATTCGGTCACCTACATTTCTACATTACTGGTATCATAGATACATACAAACACATGTGTTCGTATATATCAGAAGTAGATAATAGCAGGTAGTTCCCTATTATCGACTTCTGGTGTATATCTATGCTGGTTCTACGGTCGTGTTCGTCGCGCCCTACTTTGGATTAGTATCAGTGATTTACAGAGGCTGAGGTAGGTAAATGTGTGAAAAACAGTCTTCCTATCCAGCTTAATTATACATGTTATCACTCCTGATGTTATATTGCATATTGATTCGTAATCATGCTGTTGCGCTGGCTTGTCTGTGCTTATAATGTTGTTAACTTTGTTCTAATCATGTATCGCATTCACGCAACGAGTGTAATCATTTTAAACATGGAATATTAAAAATGTAAATATGATCACTTATACCTTCTTTGTCTGCATACTTCGTCTGATTTTGTCAGGGCACTATATAATTATTATATATGTGTGTGTATGCGTGTGTTTGTGTGTGTGCATGCGTGCGTGCGTGCGTGTGCGTGTTACGTTATGACCATCTTGGGAAGTTTATGACAGAACTGATATAGGCACGGCCACACGTTCGCAGCAACACGTATAAAAACAGACAGATTTAGTTTGTGACATTTCGATAGGCATAGCTTTATTCGTACCACGACAACACAGATTTCAGAGAAAATTTTCACTGCGTAGCAGCACGAACATGCCAACGTAGATGAGTACAAAAGTTGACTCAGTATAACGTCCTCTATCCCATTTTACACGACCAACCCTCTTCTGAACCCACTCACAATGCTTAGAAGCAGTTGATGCGGTGCATTCCAAACTTTCATTTACGATAAATCTGTTTTTCTACCAAGAACACGACCTGTATTTACATACACCTGTAAAAAAATGATAAATGCTTTGAACTCGTGCAGCAGCTTATATAAACAAAATGTAAAATCAGTTACGGTTTTACTTCACGATCACAGCAAAAATTTCTTCGCGGCATACCACAAAAACACACTGAAACGGCGTTTTACCGCGTATGTAGTAATCTCTAGTGACGGCCACAACTATAAATACTATCATACTATTATATCTGCTACATTACCACGTGACACCACCAACCCATTACGACGCCAATGCAGGAATGCAGCTTCGTTTGTCTAGAGTGAAGAATAATAGTAGACTTCAAACGAGCGAAAGTGCTAAAGACATGGTGCTGACCGCACCGCCCGCCACCACAGGTCACCCGCACGTTCTTGATTATTATCTGCGATGCACGGTAGACGCTACAAGCTATGAACACTAGCTGGTGCATGAACACAAGCAACACATCTCTGGTGGTGTGAAACGTTCTTCTCTACCCACATATATATAGGCAGAATGGCTTCGAATACTGGATAATAGTCAAATTGTGTGTGTGTGTGTGTGTGTGTGTGTGTGTGTGTGTGTGTGCGTGTGGCCATCCACGTGCGAAAAGGGAATCCAGGCTTACTGGCTTAGCATTTCAGAAGCAGTAGATACATGTAGCAAACAGTGCTGCAAACTATTTACAAATTAATATGAACTGTTTAAATCTCACTCGAAAATCGAGTGCTTGTAACTCGTCACTATTAACATCGTAACATCGTAATTACTAACCATCCCATGTTTATTCTATTACTTAGATACCCAGCGCAAGATAGACGCCTAGTGGATTGAAATTTCGTATATGCTTGCTAAGAATATAGCTACTAACATATTTGGAGCATCTGCACTATAGGCAATGAATACAGAAACAAGGCAGCCAGATATTTCCGATGTTCAGATTGAGGTCTACTGGCCTGAACGACCATAGGCCGAGATTTCATCGCCAAATTTTGCTGTAGAAAAGACCAAAAGAACTAAACAGCTTTTCAATCAATTGCATCTGTACTAATGTTACGATAATATTCATGCTCAGGCTATTTTTTTACAGTTACCATGTGGAAACACCATAAATTGATAAAGTTATTGATGATATACATAGTTCTTGAATGGACCGTTTTACTACTGGACTCATGCACGCCAGGTTGCTAAAGGATATATAGGGAAGACTAAAGAAAAGCTTGCAAATACAGTTGCATAAAGAAAACAAGATAAACATCACAGAAATAAATGGAATTTGAACGAATGCACAAGCCATTCAAATGCAAACAATGCACATGCCTAGAAAAAATACTTCTATATATTCGAGATATTCAGTGGAAAAATTACATTGTTACATCATGTTCAACTTAAGATCCACATGAAATGAAAATGCTTTCCAGCTAGGACGCCAGAGTTACTTTGTCAATTTCGCACATACATTAGAACATTCCAAGTGTCATTCAATGCAAAATTAAAGGTAAATTCTCTATACAGTGAAACTAAATAAGAAGAATGAGCAATTGCATAAGTCACGAGTACAAAATCACAAACTTTGCGAAGGTCAAGAAAGAGCAAGTATTCACCGAGAAAAGGCCTTACCACAAACTATGCATAGCAAATTATCCAACACTAATCACTGAAGTCTAACTGAAGCCCTTCAGATTGATTAAGGATGTAAATCACAACAGCTTGCTAATGGACAAGATATGTTACAACATGCAAAGTGCAAGGCAAAGTAAAACTTTTTTTAATACAGCATCAGAAACTAGCCTCTTTGCAGCTAAAACGCTGCAGCCTGCCTATGAGTGAGCAGAGAGAGACAGAGAGAGGACACCACATACTTTACAGCGCTCACACGTACTGTACTACATATCAAAATCAACACTCCCTCCCACCCGACCAACAAAACCTACGGTACACACTTTCGTACATAGATCATAGAACTGTATAGATTTCTTAATATTAACGCAGAGAAGAAAAAATCTGTATTTACAAAAATCAATCGCGATTCACACAAACAAAAATACTTTTCGAGCTGCGACTAAACTGGTCTCGAGGCCCTTACACGGGTGAGGCTGCTATATTACTAAGCACATTACATCTCCACGTATTTTTTTGGTAGATGCTGTCACAGCTAGTACACAGAGGGGGCAACCCACGATCTGTTGGGCAACGTTGAACACACTGGACGAGGTTTCGTTCACGAAAACATCGTTGAAAGCGAGGAGGAAATATTACGAGAGTAGGACACGCATCTGTTTTGTTTACGTAAACAAACCGCACACGGAAGGCACAATACCAAAACCGCTGACCGATTCTCGATCGGGGATACACTCACCAGTTTGTTGAGACCTAACCGATACGGCTTGCGAAGCGAATTATCTAGGACCAGTAAAATGCATCCAGCGAGATAATCATCATCCGTGTAGCCCGGCGATTTGCACTGGGTTAGAAGTGCAGGTAAACGTCACCGCGTGATTGTGCGATACATATGACACACGTACAATCGAGTGATCACGAGACGACGAGTAAGTGCATAGCAAGCAAGCGAGACGTAAGAGACTACTTGCGAGTTTGCACGTACTTTCAACCTTTACACAGAGTGAAGTCTGCGAATCGACAGCGACAAGGAGCACCTCTCTCGATGCCACCCTTGCCGATCCCTCGCCTCGCGAGATGCATCTCCGGTCGATAAACGATTACTTCTCATCTCTAACAACGACTAGTGATGACAGGTGACACGGATCCGGTAACCGTGGTTGGATGCACTCGAGCACCAGGCAAGCGGATGCGAACGCGATTAGGACGCATTTACTTTCTACACCCAGGTACGGATGCAAACGCGATTAGGAAGCATTTACCTTCTAAACCCAAATACGGATGCTTGTGAATAGGATGCGTTACCACCGACGCACAACCGCAAACAGGAATCCCGTGCCACGGCGTTCATATATCGACCCCAGCGTTCACATCTCGACGCGTGTCACTAGACACTCTACACAGTCTATAACGAATCGCCGCCGCGTACTAACGCAGAGCGTGGACCCTCTCAACCGCTCCATATAACGCTCCCCGTGGCCCGTCCCGTGTATGTACAAGTCTACTCGGTCTTGATGGCGCCGGTCTTGATCTTCTCGAGTCGTTTCTTCAGATCGAGGACTTCGGCTGTGTTCGTCTCGGTCGCGCTGCCCGCGCCGCCGCTCGAGCCCGCCCCGGCGTTGCTGCCGGGGGATTCCCGATCGCCCGACGCCTCCTCCGCCTCGCCGGCCTTCTGCTGCAAAGAATCGAAAGGCTGCTCTTTAACGAATCAGCAAGCAGCATCTCGACTGGAGCTGTGTTTACTACCGAGATGTTGTCCGACGCGCTATTTGCACGCCACACTAGTTTGTCACCGAAACTGATGACGGGTGATAGGACGAGTGATTAATACCTACAACTACACGTCGTGACATTTGGCTCGCTCGATTCTAGAAAAGCAATACTTTCGGAAGCCAACCGGTTCGTCGAATTTCCACCGTTTACAATATTATTGCCAAAAAATTTGTCGGCCCTACTGTCGCACATGATAGTGGAACTCTGATGACGATGCTTACAGAGATCATGCTCATTCCACCCTCAGCAGGGCTCTTCCTGTTTTCCTTATTTGCTGTCGAGTTTCCTAGAGCTTCTTTCTTAGCCACCTGAAAAGAAGAGCGCAACCAATGACTTAAGCCCATGAAAATGCTAACTGCAACATAAAACAACATGTTCAACGCGATGTCTAAATGGTAAACACCTGTGATACTAATATAACGATATGCATCACACGCATTCTATTCTCACCGTTACCAGGTACCGTCTTTTCGGCACAGGGATCGAGTCAATACCAATATATAATCCATCCAATATACATCCAATTATAACTCAACAGCACAATACCCCCCCCCCCCCCCCTGCGCCGCGGAGAAACCCCCGGGCATCGCCGTCGCCACGGTAACCGCACTCACGCCGGCCGCCTCGGTGTGTCCGCAGCGCGCTCGCAGCGCCTTCAGCTTCTCCATGTAATCGAACGCGCTCAGGTTCTCGAGTTCGCTCGCCGCAGCCGTGGCCGACGGTCCGCCCGAGCCGCCGCCGCCGCTCGGCTTGGAGCCGGGCTTGCTCTGCCTCGCTCGTTCGATGTCCCTCAGGCCGCGCTCGATGTAGCTCTGGAAAAACTGCGACGACTTGCAGAGGAACGGCTCGATGTCTGCGTCCGGGTACGTCAGCTTGAAGTCGTAGAGATCCGACAGACCCTGCGAAAAATACGGGGAGGAACGGTCTTTGCTTGACGTGGTCTATGGAAACACCCTGCATCCGCTGTGGATCTAGTGATTCTACAAGCAATGTGGGATGATATATTGTAGCAGCTGTCATTACTTTATGCACTGCTACAGTCCCTGAGAAAATATTGGGAAGTTTTCGCTCGCCACGCCGTGGAAACACTGTGCATTCGCACCGGATACGTGGAATGAAACGCCCCTCGAAGGTTGACGAGCGATTCTATGAGCAATGTGGGACGATCTATCATAACAGTTGTCGTTACTTTATGCTCTGCTACATATATTCAGGTTATAATCAGCTACTACAGACGTCCCAAGTGTCCCCGGTCTCACCGGGATCGTTCCGGTGCGACATGCTGGTCCCGGTGTCCCGTTAAGAGTCCAGAAAGTCCCGGTGGTAACATTTTTCAGCCATATTTTAGAATTTATATCAGTAAATTACTAAACTTGCCGTGGTTTTTGATGAACTTTGATTGCAGCGAACAATAAAAGGCCACAAATGTATACTTTATGTTTATTTTACATGTATACAAAATGGTGGTGCGCCGCGACAAACACATGTCGCAGCCAGCCATAACTTTTTTCCATGGACCATTATCACAAGTGATCCCTTGCTTGGATTTTCCCAACTTGGGACCTCTGGCTACTATGTCGATTGACCAGCCGTATCATCGATTACCTCTTTCGTGTTCTCCTTGGAACCGATTTTCTTGAAGATCTCAGCAAGCATGTCGTGACAACTTTTTGACAGCCTTCTTGTGCTCTTCTGCAAAAACAAGGTACGTCCATTATCACAGAGTAGCAGAGATTAGCAGTCGAACAGTTGGTTAAAACCGCATTCAGAGAAATGTAAATCTAAAATTCTAAAATTTAATCCCAGAGAACACGTTTAACTTTGGGATACTGCTAGCACCCACTAACATCTCACGTTCTACATTCGAGTAACCTCGAAATTTAATCGCAGAGAACACGTCTAACTTTGCGATACTGATCGCGCCCACAAACATATCACGTTCTACATTCGAGTAACCCTGAAATTTAATCTCAGAGAACACATCTAACTTTGAGATACTGCTCGCGCCCACAAACATATCACGTTCTACATTCAGAGAAACTCGAATGAGAAACTCTGAAATTTAATCGCAGAGAACACGTCTAACTAACTACGAACACGTTCTAGAATGGCATCACATCCCTCGCCAGACCACGCTAGATGCTGCGTGCAGACACGCGCAGGCCCGCTCACGTTAACACACGTACCTCCGCTTTATCCTTGCTGTTCTCTGTCACGCGCCGTTTACGTGCGCATTCGTATTGTTGTGTTGTTCGTCGTGGGCTTCACAGAGAAGCCCGTACGAAGCACCTTCTGCAGGTACTGCGAGATCTCAGACTCTTCCGCATTCTCGATCAGCTTCAGATGCGTGACAATCTGCAATGGTGATAACGAGGAGCGTGTAACCACGGCAACGCGGCAAGACGTAAGCATCGCGTGTACCGTAACCGCGGTAACGCTGCAGTGAGAATTAGTGGCAGAGCGATCGTAACCACAGATGTGTAACCAGGCAACGCGGCAAAGACGTAAGCATCCATGCTAAACAGCGATAACGTTCAGTGATAATTAGTGACAGAGCGATCACCTATGTGTAACCATGGTAACACTGTGAATATAATCACCACATCTAATCACATCACAACAATAACCAACCATATCTCACTGCAGTACACTGGGAATGCTAACCACCATGCGTACTATCCTAACGGGGGCTATCTTGGATCTTTCTACCCGCAATTCTGCTACATATTAGAATAATTATAATATGGTTGAATCCAACCAATAAACGTCAAGCAGCTTGGTCGCTATCTGAAAATGCGTATTAATAAAGCTTGTAAATTCTTTTAACGCTTATTCTTAGATACCTCATTTCCCTTGAGTTTGGCGAGGGAGTGTAGTATTGTTTTTGACAGTCCTGAGTGGGTGTGTCGTTATTTTTATCTTTCCACGAACTAGGTGGAAACGCTTGCATAAAGTGATGCAGATCCAGGAGTAAATGTCGAGGTCAACCTAAGAGCACAAGCAGCAGGACATCAGCTTTTACGAGCAGCACAACTTTTACCTTTATATATATATATACATATATACAACAACAACACATATTATAATATATACTTGCATATTAGTTGATTATACACGTCAAGAAAAACACATTTACGTAATCGCGCAACATACGTACTATCGTACTAACAAAACAACGTACACTTGTACGTATGATTATAACCTTCCTGAGCGATAGTCCAGGAATTAAACGCTTCAAGACTTAAAAACATCAACCTATCGAACCAACGGCGCCGAGTGCGCACGATAGGCAGAAACGCGCACCTTTCGATGCAATCCGAGCTCAAGACTACAATCACGCCGTGGCCAATCATTTCTGGGCAAACCAAGCCGCAACCTCGACGGGCTCGGCCTCTGCCCAAACACCGTAGCTAACATACGTACCGTGTTGATCGTTGGAGACCAGCATAGCGAATCATCTTCCAGGAGGCACTTTCATGATGAGTTCTCGTAAACTTGGAGGAGCACGTGTCTTTGCCGATGCACTCCTGCGCAGGCTTGAGCATGCGCGCTACTTAATCCACGGCATACGCGGCATCAGTGCGCGGAACGAGTGCACCCTCCCTCTGTCAGCAGGCGCCCTCCCGCTTCCGTCTTTATTGCACCCGAGAAAAATTCCCTCCGCATCTGAATCTTTCATCAGTTGGCAATATCGTGAAACACCTCTCTCGGCTATGAAACGGTGTACTATGATCAGTGACCCTTGTCAGTTATATGCTTAAAGTAAGGGAAAACCATTCCTCATGTCGCGTGAAAACGTGTGGTGATTCATACCATACGCACAGCTTGAAGTTCGGTGCTGCGCGTACGAACAGCCACTATACACAGGACACGCTGCGCAAGCACGGGCGCGGACTACCCATAACGTTGGAGAAAATAAAAGCAGCAGGACAACAGTTCATACTGCTAGAACGTGACACCGCTCACAAAGTCGCAGAGGGTGCTAGCCACAGGGACCTAGAGACTATGGGGATGCGGACTTTGACGTGCGCGGCTGACCACTGCTACTTCGACACCCATGTGATGTCAGTCGTGTCGCGTACTCGAAGTATCTGACGACCATCACGTTGAACGCTGCGTTATCACCTGCGGTCCGTCCTCAAGGTCCATGGCCGCTTGTCGAGCAGCATCGTTGATCAGAGTAGTGCAACGAGTCACGCCAGGTCTCCTTCGTCACTCTCCCTTCGCGAAGATATCTTCGCTTGAAGAAACTGAGCGGCAGCGAGACAGCGAGAGTTAACTTTACAAGGAAATTAAGGGGGAGAGAACCAGCTGAGAAGTTAACTTAAAGGCGAACTTTAAAGGGGAGAATCAGCGAGAGTTAACTTTAAAGGGAACTCAGCGGAAAGGACAGCAAGAGTTAACTAAAGAAACATTAAGGGGAGAAGCAGCGAGTTACTTAAAGGAAACTTAAGGGAGAAGCAGCGACGAGTTAACTTAAAGGGAACTTAAGGGGAGAAGCAGCGAGAGTTAACTTAAAGGGAACTTAAGGGGAGAAGCAGCGAGAGTTAACTTAAAGGGAACTTAAGGGGAGAAGCAGCGAGAGTTAACTTAGAAGAGAACTTAAAGGGAGAAGCAGCGGAGTTAACTTAAAGGGAACTTAAGGGGGAGAAGCAGCGAGAGTTAACTTTAAAGGGAACTTAAGGGGAGAAGCAGCGAGAGTTAAATTGAGGAACTTACGGCTTTAGGGAACAAATATATAAAAACGTTTATGAGGGGCAAGGCTTTTCTGTTGCATTTCAGAAATTTCGCAGCATGGCCGGCAGAGGTTTCTTTCAACGAGGACGTTATCGATGGCACCAACTTTTAAAAGGCACTCTTTATTACTGTGGCGACTACAGTACAAAACACGGAATTTATAGAAAGTGCCAATGAAAACCAGATACGGCTTTCGACACTCTCGTTTCCGTGAAGATGGCATCGAACATTTGTTACTTACATCCACCAACAACTCGTTGAATTCTCCGCAAAATTTCTTATCACGCAGTTTCTAACCAACGACTGAGTTAACAGTCGGCCGCTGCTGCAGCGCGACAGTGTTCGAGTATCACTAATGTCGTCAGTTGCAGGAGTGCTGCTGGTACTTCACAGCGATGAGTGGTGCGCCAATGAGGCAAGCGGTAGACCTGCGTGATCAGCCTCTCCCGCCGCACTCTTGCATGGTACTTGCTGTAGGTGCAGGCGTAGCTGCAGGAGGGAGAGCACAAGCTGGTCGGCTCGGCCGGCCAGGCAGGTTGCACCTTCTCTCCACTCCTTCAGGCAGGCTCGTCAATCTGCAGGGAAAACCGAGTGAATCCATGTAGGAAAGAGAATCCCCACAGGAGAAAGCCGATTAGAATCCCCACAGGTGTTAACATTTGAGGGATCCCTGCGGGTGGAATGCTGCAATGTCAGGGAGAAGCGAAGAGAGAACCATGTAGAAGAGAGTCCCCACAGGAAGAAGGGTAGAATCCACAGGTAGTTAACATTGAGAGATCCGCGGGTCGGCTAATTCTGACATCGACAGGGCAGAAGACCGACGGAGAATCCATTTAGAAAGAGAATACCCCTACAGGAGATAGCCGATTAGATTCCCCACAGGTGTAACATTGAGACGATCCGCGGTGTAATTCGCCATGCAGGAAAGGCCGAGAGAGAAACAATGATAGAAGAAGAGATCCCACAGGAAGAACGCCGAGATAGATATGTGCGTGGTAATGCTGCGATCGAGGGAGAAGCCGATGAGAGAATCCATGTAGGAAGCAGATCCGCCAAGCTCACAGGTGTTAATGCTGCAGCGGAGAGTAGAGACGACTCCCTGCGGGTATTAATGTATGTCATGATAATTAAATGTAGATAGATGACCCAATTCGGTGTAGGTCAGTCACAGCGAGAGGTTAGAGGTGACGGTTGCGGGATGAAAACCATGCAAACTGGTGAAGGATGACTAGATAACAAGAGGACTAGATAGACGACAGTATTTAACACTTGTGTTATTTAGGTTGTCTGTTTTTTATGTAAATAAAAGCATGAAATGCACCCGATGATGTAATGTAGGTACAAGAAAATTACCTGAGCCCAACGATGATATACTGGTCTGATGTCACTTTACGGCAATCTGCTGACAACGACTAGGCTCCAGCGTCGAACTGAGTGTCCGTAGACTGGTGGAAGACCTTCATTAGCGTGGTGATCGGGCGCCGCTCCACCTGCAAAACGGAAGCCATCTGAATGTCAGGACAACCAGATGCCAACTCCCCGCCAGGCCAATCAAATACACCATAATTATACTACGGTATATAAGTAATAGAATAGTTGTATATGAAAACGTTCTTACAATGGCCAACACCACTGTTCAACATCATTTCACCATCTGCAGTCTTTCTCGAGTCGCTTTAAAAATCAATACTCAGTCGTCTTTAAAAAACGACATAATGGCTGAACGCGCCTTTGGACACGCACAGCACTCACGCACATATACAGGGATGACATTGGATCAATTTAATTTTTCAGCTGAAATTTTAATTAGCAAACCAGAGGCAGTGAGGGCAATGGCGAGACCGGTAGGTCATTCGCCATGCTAGGGTCAGGGGGCCATGCCCTCCCCCGAATTTTTTTAAAAGAAGGTAGCAATTGGTGCAGTTCTAAAGCTTATTATGAACACATTATGAGATCGTCTTGAACACCATTTTCAAGTTGTCAAAAGGAACAAACGAACTATAATAGGAAATCAGGGGGCTGAAAAATAGGGCAAGTTTTTTTTTAAATGTCTAGACATAATGATATTTTTCTGTTTCCACCCGTCGTTGCATTGTTTTAGTGCAGACATAAGCTGTCTTGCTGCGACGAGTTTGAATGAAAAAACACAATGCGAATGGAACAATCAGTGCACAGATCATGCACACAACATGCACGCAGCAACATGTAAAACCGGCCCCCAGGCCCAGCATGGTCTTACGTGATCAAAGCTACCTCAAATGTTTGCGCTCACTGCGCCTGTGAACGAGGATTTTCTTTCTGGTACCAAAAACAGATACACTGATACTCGCTTGTCCAAGCCTAGACTGTCTACCACTTCTACAGTCTACAGTCGGGTGCTGTCGAGGGTATATAATTTTAAATTGTTACATTGTTACCACCCTCCCAATTTTTCTCAACGAATTTAGACGTTTCACAAAAATCGACTCCCTGGGACTGTCAAATCCGCGATTTCCGCGGATGCCGCGCGAAGAATCTCAATCCCTGCATATAGGCCCAGGGTATTACCAGAAATGAAGTATGTGGGAAAGTGCAGAAAAAATATTTGGAGTGCAATTTTTTTGTATAGTGTGGCTTTAGATCAAATATTTTTAGGACGTGCTACTACATTTTGGTCTGTGCAGGTTTCAAAACTGACCGTGCCAAATTCAACGGCTGCAACGGCTCCGCTGGCCTAATACGTTGTAATATGACCAAGTAATATATAGTAATAATTAATATAATATTACATAGTTTATATACTAAGGTATATAATCTTATAAGTTGTAAGAAACACCTTACAAATGGCAGCACCCCAACTGTTCGCATCATTTCTTGCAGTCTATTAGTCTGACAACGACAAATTCTCGCGCGCCCTTGACGCACTCGCCCATTAACCGTGAGTCTCAATGCACGCGCACTGAAACCACAGATTCGCAACTGGTTACGCGGCAGGTGTATGGTTTCGTCTTGCTAGTCGGGATGTCGATGAGCCGTGCGTGCCGGCTGCACGTCAGACTCGCTCGTGCTCTCGCCCAGTCCAGTATAGAGCGAGCGCGCCGAACCGGCGGTGCCTCGCCGCGGCCCTGCAAGCATGGCAGCGTTCAACAATCAACGCCATCACGTCAACATCGAACGTCAATGTCATCGTCAAAACATCAATGTCAGTGTCACACAACGTCAATGTCATCGTCACATCATGTCATCGTCAACGATCCAACGTGTCAACATCAATGTCATCGTCAACGATCATCGTCAACATCAAACATCAATGTTAACTTCAGGCGTGTAACAATGAACAACCTATCATGAATCTCCCGGTAATCCCTCGGAATCGAGGTCGTCACTTTAGCGGTTGACACCTTTGGCGACGACCGCCACGTGACACCACGGGAATTACCGCTAAAATTGTTTGCGGTGAACATTACCGCATCAACTACACACCGAATAGCCCATCTTGTTATCGTCAGTTTTATCCGTTATCTGCGAGACTGGGTCGGGGTAGAAACAAACCCCCCCACCCAATAGCAAACGGGATTTAACTACATTCAAATGAGCAAAAACTCATAGTCTCAGAATTATGTTAAATAGCGCTGTACGATTTGGCCAACAAACGTGTACACTGTGGTTTCTAACACGCTCCTAGCGGGAGTTCAAAACGAACCCACGGGATCGCGGGCAATGCAATGATCTCTTCCGGCACAACAATACTGCTGCATTGTTCAGATTGTTCATGATTGTTCATCACTCGGCAACAAAATATCAAACATGTGTCGTATTCACGACGAAGTATTTCTGGCGTCAAAAATCGCCATCCGCATGCAAGCGCACTCGTGCGATCTCCTTCGCGATTCTGTCGCCGGCAACAAAATCGCCGAGTAATAGCGATAAAAAATCGCCTACGTTGCACCGGGCTTAAAAAAAATCTTGCCGCGTCCTGCCGTAGCAGCACTTACTGCAATCTCTGGTCCAGCAGCGCGTTCATTGCTCGCAGACTTCGCCTCGCTTGGTCCTCTGGTTCGGCCGCCGCGTCGCGCACAGCAGCTCGGTTCTTCGCTGACCGCTTAAGTGCGCTGCGGTCCAGCAGGCTCTGGTCCTGTCCGCAGCTAGAGCATGAACATTAGCTAGAGCATTCAACTAGAGGCATGAACATTTAGCATGAACTAGAACATAAACATTAGCTATTAACATGAGCATTAGCTAGAGCATGAACATTAGCTAGAGCATGAACATTAGCATGAACTAAGAGCATGAACATTGGCATGAACTAAGAACATAAACATTAGCATATAACATGAGCATTTAGCTAGAGCAGAACATGTAGCCTAGAGCAATAAATCTCGAGCATGAACATCAGCATGAAGCTAGAGCATGGAACATTAAACATGAGCTATGAGGTCATACAACAGTTAGCTAAGAGCATGAGCATAGCATGACATGAAAACATTAGCTAGAGCCTGACTAGAGCATGAACATTAGCTAGAGCATTGAACATTAGGCATGAGCTAGAACATAAACATTAGCTAGAGCATGAGCATGAAGCATATAAGCATGAGCATGAACATTAGCGTAGAGCCTGAGCTAGAAGCATGAACATTAGGCTAGAGCATGAACAAGAGCATGAACTAAGAGCATGAACATTTAACTAGAGCATGAACTAGAGCATGAAACAGAAGCAGCCAAGTGTTAACGGCACTGTGAACAAAACACTCCCCGCCCCTACACCCTCAATCACCCCCCCTCCCAAACCGATTTTCGCCGAACGCTTAAAAATCAGCGACTCTGAACGAAACTGACAGGCGACTAACGAATGACTCACCTGTCCCGACGTAGCGGTGCATGTTGTCCGGCCGACGATGAGGTAGGCTGCACGCGGCGGTTGTTTGAGCGGCGGCGTTGCGGCACGCCGTTGTCGCGATCGCCGATCTGCTGAGCAATGACTTCAGCGCCGCACCGACACTCGGCTGAAGACGTTGATCCCAACACTCTCTGATGAGATAGCCCAGCTCGTCGAAACACTCTGTAAACAACTAAGGAGGAGTGAGACGGAGACGCAGGCATGATGACCACAACCTCGATTGAAATTAGCCAGCTCGTCGAAGAACTCCTGTAAAGAACGAGGAGGCAGGTGAGACGCGAGAACGCAAGGCACGATGACACACGCTTGATGCCACACCTCGATGAGGTTAGCCGCCAGCTTCGTTGAGACACTCTGTAAACAACGAGGAGGCAAGTGAGACGTGAGACGCAGGCATGACGACATGGTGAGACGTCAGGCATGATGACATGTGAGGACAACAGGCATGACGACACATGGTGAAACAGAGAGTATGGCAACATGGCAAGATGCACAGAACCAAGTGAGACGCATACCCGAGGACAGGCGAAAATATATGCAAGCACTTTATTCTCACCTGCACTAACTCGCAGGTAACCTTTACTGCTCGCAAGAGATTTAAAACACGTCAACGTGTACTCACAACGTTAGACTTGCTAGAAAGTCAGGGGGCCCGTTGTCAGAAAACAAAATTAGTCTTAACATTAGTCTAACATTTAGTAATTTCTCCTAGACCGTCGACAAATCACTTTGTTTCGTATTGTTATGAGGAAAGTCTGCTACGATTTTTCAATATCTGCAGGTAACTTGTGCAAGCGTTTCTGTCAACGTCTAAGGAGAAAAAGTTATGTTGAACTAATCATAATTGTTAAGACCAATTTTGTTATCTGACAAGAGGCCCTGATGTTTGCGCTGGAGCAGCAGCATGTCAGACCCCATGTGTCTTGTGTTATTTGTATGTATTGTATTTATATTGTATTATATATTGTATTGTCGTGTGTATTACCTGTTCGCTGACAGAGCGCGTTCTTTGACTTCAGTCCGTCTATTATGTAGGTGAACATCTTACTGGCAGGGTAGACCTTGTAAGACGTCAGACCAAAATGTTTTCCACTACCTTCCTCACCGGATCTTTTGAGGATCGCGCGCCTGTGACAGCAAACAATTTATGTAGCATACAAAAGTGCATTGGCATGTGAGCGCTCGCCCATTAGGACCTGCAATACTATGACCCTCATATCTGTAAAGCTTTGCGCTTGCATGCATAGAATAGATAGGGTGGGTCGAAGGAAGCACACAGTACTTCCACCACGAGATAGAGTATGAAGCACACAATATGATATCTCTAGCACGAAAGAGGGCAGAAGCGCTTGGTACCTCCCAGCACTGAGATACAGTAACACAATAATATAGCAATGAAAGTACACCATTGCCTTCAGCACAAGACAGAGTAATGTATCAGGGTTCATATGTAAGTAAGACACATGTTGAAATAAGGACTTATAAGACCCTTTCTGGAGGCCAAAATAAGACTTTTTTTTACGCAATTTTTTGATAGATCACCGACTATTAAGTACAGCTAATAACTATTTAATACACAATTGCACAGGCAGATTTATTTATTCCGTAATTATATATATAT